TAGGTTTCTAAAGCTCATTTTTAAGACCAAAAATTCAGAGGACAGTGGTCACTCAATATCAAAAACTGGACAATGTCTACTGTTAAATTGTTGATCATGTCAACATAGGCAGTACCAGAAGACAATTAAATCAGCTTTACGTACATGTGATAATACAGGAAGTACATGAAGCTTCACTCAACAATGAGATCTAAAATTACCACAAGTTAGTCAGCACATAGAAAATTTAACGGATTCCATCGCTAGAATGTGAAACATGGTTCTAATCATCGATCCAGGAGAAGTTAATGATCTCAACAGACCACTTAAAGACATGCATAGTGTAGTTAGACTCTCTTTGAGTTGAAAACCTTTTAACTGGATGTTAAGGAAATGTATTAACTAATTTGATACATTTATATCACATTTGATTTTCAAAACATGCTTGCTATGTTTTAATCGAATTTTCGAATTTTAAGCAAATGAATGTAAAAAAAAATTAAAAATAAACAAAAAAAATAAATAAATAAAATAATAATAATAATAATAATAATAATAAAAGAGGGAAATAAAGAAGTTTAGATTAATTTAATTCAATTATATTTAAATTTAAGGTATATAAAGTTAAAAAAAAATCAGGCAAATGTTTTACGTTTGCTTTGATATAGCTTTACAGCATTTTTAGTACATGACGGAAATCATTTTACTGTAATGTCAAATAACATTTATGATTACTTTGAGAAAAAATACAATTCTATTTTTAAAAAAATCAACTCTGTTTACGATAATTTATTCATGAAAAGCTAAAGTTTACAATCCAGAAGTATTTGCTAGCGGTAAACTATTGTAAAACTTATCAGCAGATAGAGTGAGAAGAGGGGGAGATTTATTAAAGATTTTTATTGGAAAACAAGCTAAATATATGTCTTAATGAAATATATGGAGAAAACGAACTGTATTCAAGCTCAAAAGTCCATTAAACATTACAAAATAGGAGCAGAACAAACACGGACCTCCAGAACTTCAGATGTGGGATCAGGTGCCATGGAGGAGTCAAGATTTTCACAGAAATCATCTTATAAATATATCCTGCTTGAAACAAATCATCGATTGATGAGTGGTTTCAACTTTCCGATATGCAAAAGCAATTTCGATTAATCACTATTGAATGCTTGGAGTGTTTTAAAAGCATAAAATATATATTTACTAGATATCTAAGAACGAATATAATGTCCTGTTTGCTGCCAAGTCAAAATATTGTCAATTGTATAAGATTCTCTTTCATATTAAGGTGCTTATGATTGCCTAATTATTTGACTCGGTCAATTCAGTTTAAAAACCTTTCATTATGACGAAAAATATCTGTACAAGCATACAGAAATGAAATATTCGCGTCAAAGGCCATAATTCCGAAAAGTAGGCTTAAAAGTGACCACACAACCATATTTATGTGTTATCAATTAACCTCATGCCCAAATTCAGCTCCTGCATAAGCAACCTAATTTTGCATCGGAGAGAATTCGCTGGTTTTTTGAAATGTTTAATTTGGATTATTGACCGATCAGAATACCTCTATTTGGCATTCTTCGAAGTTTAAATCTGCAAAAGATGCTGTTTGGAACTTGTTTAACTGATTTTTACCAGTTTTTATTTGGGTATAAATCATTACAGTAGATTCCCTCTTCGCTTTCTTTTATCTAAACATGTAATTGCTTACTTAATCTTAGAACTGTGTGAAGATTATTTGCACACATGCTTAGTTCCCTCTCAGTTTTTATCCTTAGTTTATGTTTGTTCTGAACACATTTTATTGTTTAATAATCAATTGACAAATCATTTCAAATTAACAAATAATAACATAAATAATATATAACACATAATAAGATGTTCTATAACTACATGTATTAAACCTAGAGGATTCAGGCATGTATTTTTATGAACCTTGACAAAGATGCCATTCCTTAAGGTTAAGTTTTCATAGCCCCAAATTAACAGGTGTAAAATAAATGTCTAACTTCATACAACCCCTATTTGTATAACGTACTTGCTGTTGTCACCTTTGTAAGCCTGTATTTAATTCAAAGCAAGGGCTCTGACATTACATATCTCCAATGACAATTGCATTTCTTTCATCATCAACTTATAACTCATATAATCATAAAACAAAGACCAGAAATGAAGTCATGTTTACAGAGGAAACAAAGTCCATGTACATTGAGTTAAATAGTACTCGAAATTACAGAATGAAAGAACATTGGATTGAAGGACATGGATAAGACTAAAATAACCAATATACATCAATGAATCATGTTATTCACTCCTTATCTAAATTGTGCTAAATGTTGCCCTGAAAGATAATGGTGCTATGTAATTTTTGAATCTTCTTGTAAACACGACCTGAATACCAGAAACTGTAAATAAAGATTTCTCTCTCTTAAAAAATAGCCTGTTTAAATCATATAAGAATAAGCTTTTATCTGATTAAATCACACATGTGTAGTCAGTGTAAAGTAGTAATGAAACAGTTGATATTTGTAAAAGCATTCTCTAAGAAGCTTACAAATGCAAGAGATGATATATTTTTTTTTACTTTTTTTTTTATTGAAGGTCCAGCAAGCTCCTTCCCCGATATTGTACGTTAAAAAATAACCCATTCCCTTCTTCCTATTTATATTGAATGATAGGAGAATGTGGCCTTTGATAACATGAAACATGAAAGGCATCTGCAATTATGTTTATAAGTCTCTCGAAAATGTCTGTAGATATGAGATATTTGATAACAATGGTATATATTATATTTATCTATATAAATTTTATATGCTGCATACATTGATTTTTTTCTTCATCTATGGTAAATGATTCTTGTCCAGATTGATCTGTTATGAATTTCACATTGCTGAAATTGGGGTGAAAACTTATCTGAAAGCATTTCTGGGGACTTTTCTATTTTGCTATATCCATCGAACTACCATTAGAATTCATTAGTAATTGTTCGTACAAGTCCATTTCTTTATTACTAAAAGAAAATATTAACAGCAGAGGAGAAACTTCAAAGCTACTATGTTACAACAGATTTGAGATGCGGGGTAAATCAAATATGATTGCTAAGGTATTTTTTATGGAAATTACCAAGGAATTTTTTCCGGAGAATTGGAAATCACAAAACCTTTTGTTTTTTAAACAAGCTTAATGAAAAAATACGACTTCATCACACTCTATACAATGATTCCGCATGACTATTTTGAAAAAAAGTATTATTTTAGATATCATAGATAACTGCTTCTTCGATAAAAAGAACACTCTTGTGAATACGTTCTATTTCCACTATGGAAGAGTTATACTTCTTAGTGCGCTCTTTTGCGAAAAAGTCGGAAAATGTACAAATCTCGCGGGATTTCTCGGACAAACGTAATATAAACATGTAAACAATATGTTGAATGTCGCTGAACAATTCCTAAGAAAATGCAAATGAAATATTTTATTGTTGTGGACTTTATATACATCAAGAGTAGGAATGACAACGATATCAATCTATATCTATTGTTGATCGTATATGTATCTATTTATCATATGGTACATCTAAATACAATATACATGCCTCGGAAATGTCGTATTTTTATTAATGGATGATAAATTTAGGGTTCTCGCTCTCTTACATATGTCTTTTAGTTCTTCTATTCTTTAATTGGAATGACAAATACATTTAACATTTAAAATTGGATTGAGATTGGCATGTTTTGTATTATTCGCAACGCCATGATGTCCCAGTAAGACGACCAAACGCGCCTCTAATTTTAAAGAGTTCACTAATGGAAATAAAACGTATTGCCACCCAAAAAATTATTTTGTTAACAATCATTCTGATTCTTCGCACAAGTACATGTATTCAGCAGCAGATATGAACAAGCATCAAGTCTTCCAATGACCTGTTACACTTCCAATGTAAATTGTGTCCCTTTATAGCCAACCTGATTTTGAATTCTTATATGAAGCAGAATGTTTTCAAAACCTTCTACATGAAAACAAGTCCCTTTGTGTTGAATTTTAGTTCAGAATAAAGCAAGAATTAAGACACAGATTTTTTTTCAAAACCATCTACTTGAGAAAATAATATCATGCTCTAAATTTTGATTTAACGTTTTATCAATTAACAATATTCATTTTCATTCAAACTTTGATACTTGTATATCCCACTGAACTCTAAATAAAAGAACATCACAGAGTCTGACACATCTGTTTATATTCGGATATTTTGCTTATATGATGGCAAAATTACTTTATGATAAACGGGATGACATCAACATTCCCTCCTCAGTTTCATTGATGTAGCAACACACCATTATGACCTATATAATTATGCTTTTTCACTTCGCAAGAACATGTTTTGCTTACGATCAATTCTTAAACCAAAGCAGAATTCTAAAAAGTAAACTGATGTTATTAGGGTAATAACGATCTATATTACATTCACTTCTGTGGTTGTTACTATGACATTTTTTGCAAATACAACCTGTTGTTAAGTCGAATGTTAAATGATGTTTTTCATACAAATTGTTGTTCCATTGTTTTCATCCTGATTTGTCTAAATACGGATTTCTCCGTTTAACCAATAAGGACAATGGGTTCACTGCTAATTTGACCAATGAAAGGGAATGCTTAATCCTTCATTGCACCTGATTCCACCTTCGGTGTTTCCAGGTCTATGATGCCCAGCTTATTGTACCGGTTTTTGTTGCTTGATCACAGTTTTGTTATCTTTACATTTTATTGTACATTACAGTATCCGATTTGTTTTCGTCACACTTCGTTATACATTATATACAGTATATTCGATTCAAGGCTAACAATAGCTTATGAAATTTCACTCGCATGAACTTTTTTTTTTGAAGACAAAGGTTCAGTGGACAGATAAATGCAAAATAGATAAATAAATTTGTATTTTATAACTTCATTTCAATTTGAAAGAGACATAAGGCAATGAGCTTTGAAATCAATTTGTTTATATGTTATATAATTCTCGAACTAAAACACATTTAGTTGCATAGCAAATCTGTCTGTGGACTTCCGTTCAGGTAAATGTGTAGTGTCGAAAGTGTTCCTATGCTACGTAGGCAGTTTGGCACAACTTTCATGAATGCCTGGAATTGATATAAACAGCAATTATGAATATCTAAATCATAATGAATATCTAAATCATACTCCTGGAAAGTATTTTTATACAGAAAATTAAATAAAAAATACATAGAAATTCGTCATTTGGTTCTTCGTCAACAATGAACATGAAATATTGATGGATTTAATGCTTTTCCCGTTATTCAGAAGTGTTGATGCTCTAAAATAAATAATGGACTTCTTTGTTATTTTTGTTACACACAGAAAGTTACTTTTTGAATTGTAAAGATCTGTTGAAACCAAAAAATACGCTTTAGCACATTAAATACAAACACATCTTCACTTGAAGTCAATCATAAAAAAATAGGACATGAATCATTCAAGTGCTACCCGGTAGTCCTACAGAAGAAGTTGAAAGGCTAAATGAAAAATTAATGTCTTTTATAAAATGTTCTTTGGAAATGAAAAAAAATAATATAACAATCATGCTCACCCCAAATGATGATTGTGTAGGATGTTCGTATCTAGGTGAGGACAGACCTGCACTAAAAGCCCATCCAAATGCATTTAGGACTCCTCCATTGTAGAGAAGGAAGACGGGGAAAAATCGATCACAGGACATATCAGCAGTAGTATCAAACCAATAATGGACACCTACAAAGTAAAGACTAATGTATTAGCAGTAATGTCAAACCAGTAATAAACACCTACGAATTAAAGAAATGTATCAGCAGTAATGTCAAACCAAAAATAAACACCTTCAAAGTAAAGAACAATTTATCAGCAGTAATGTCAAACCAATAATAAACACCTACAAAGTAAAGAACAATGTATCAGCAGTAATGTCAAACTAAAAAATGAACACCTTCAAAGTAAAGAACAATGTATCAGCAGTAATGTCAAACCAATAATAAACACCTACAAAGTAAAGAACAATGTATCAGCAGTAAGGTCAAACTAAGAAAAAAAGAACACCTTCAAAGTAAAGAACAATTTATCAGCAGTAATGTCAAACCAATAATAAACACCTACAAAGTAAAGAACAATGTATTAGCAGTAGGGTCAAACTAAAAAAAAAATGAACACCTTCAAAGTAAAGAACAATTTATCAGCAGTAATGTCAAACCAATAATAAACACCTACAAAGTAAAGAACAATGTATCAGCAGTAATGTCAAACTAAAAAAAAATGAAGACCTTCAAAGTAAAGAACAATTTATCAGCAGTAATGTCAAACCAATAATAAACACCTACAAAGTAAAGAACAATGTATCAGCAGTAATGTCAAACTAAAAAAAAATGAACACCTTCAAAGTAAAGAACAATTTATCAGCAGTAATGTCAAACCAATAATAAACACCTACAAAGTAAAGAACAATGTATTAGCAGTAGGGTCAAACTAAAAAAAAAATGAACACCTTCAAAGTAAAGAACAATTTATCAGCAGTAATGTCAAACCAATAATAAACACCTACAAAGTAAAGAACAATGTATCAGCAGTAATGTCAAACTAAAAAAAAATGAACACCTTCAAAGTAAAGAACAATTTATCAGCAGTAATGTCAAACCAATAATAAACACCTACAAAGTAAAGAACAATGTATCAGCAGTAATGTCAAACTAAAAAAAAATGAACACCTTCAAAGTAAAGAACAATTTATCAGCAGTAATGTCAAACCAATAATAAACACCTACAAAGTAAAGAACAATGTATCAGCAGTAATGTCAAACTAAAAAAAATGAACACCTTCAAAGTAAAGAACAATTTATCAGCAGTAATGTCAAACCAATAATAAACACCTTCAAAGTAAAGAACAATGTATTAGCAGTAATGTCAAACTAAAGAATGAACACCTTCAAAGTAAAGAACAATTTATCAGCAGTAATGTCAAACCAATAATAAACACCTACAAAGTAAAGAACAATGTATCAGCAGTAATGTCAAACTAAAATAAACACCTATAAAGTAAAGAACAATGTATTAGCAGTAATGTCAAACTAAAATAAACACCTTCAAAGAAAAGAACAATTTATCAGCAGTAAGGTCAAACCAATAATAAACACCTTCAAAGTAAAGAACAATGTATCAGCAGTAATGTCAAACTAAAATAAACACCTATAAAGTAAAGAACAATGTATTAGCAGTAAGGTCAAACTAAAAAAAATGAACACCTTCAAAGTAAAGAACAATTTATCAGCAGTAATGTCAAACCAATAATAAACACCTACAAAGTAAAGAACAATGTATTAGCAGTAGAGTCAAACTAAAAAAAAATGAACACCTTCAAAGTAAAGAACAATTTATCAGCAGTAGGGTCAAACCAATAATGAACGCCTAAAAAGTAAAGAACAATGTATTAGCAGTAGGGTCAAACCATTAATAAATACCTACGAAGTAAAAAATGTATTAGCAGTAATGTCAAACCAATGGTAAACACCTGCGAAGTACAGAATGAACACCTACAAAGTAAAGAACAATCTATCAGCAGTAATGTCAAACCAATAATAACACCTGCGAAGTAAAGAACAATGTATTAGCAGTAAGGTCAAACCAATAATGAACGCCTAAAAAGTAAAGAATGAACACCTACAAAGTAAAGAACAATGTATCCGCAGTGATGTCACGAAAAACGAAACCTACAAAGTCAATGACGCGTTTTCAAAGTGCAAAGAACAATGACACCGTTAAAGTGATGTATGGCGCCACATTATCTACCATCCAAGCTTACATTTTTACTGACTTAATATCTTTTCCTTTGGTAATACTTAAAGATTGACGATGGTGTAAAGAGACAGAAACTATAAATATTTGTTGACAAAAAATAATTTGTTCCGATGTATAATACAATTAGATACCGTTTATAATTAGTTATTTTAGCAGCGTATTTTTTTTTACTCTTCAAAGTGGAAATTTGAATACTTGCGCATTTTTGTGATTTAAGTTAATGGCTTCATTGAGGAGATTTTGCAATTCCATTTTCAAATTTGGCAAAGGAATTTCTTTGCCTCTTAATTATGAAGCTCTACGTCTTTTTAACCATACTTTTGTATATTTCACGTTGGAGACAAAACCTAGATATCAGTGGACCTTTTCACGAAATATCTTAAGACGACGAAAAATGTTTCCTATTCTCCACAAAGTATCTAAGCAATTGTGTGTCACAAAAAATCTATTTCTTTTTCATTTTCATATATTGTGAATAATCCTTTAGAAAATAATAATATATTATCAAACAAGAAAGTACAGAGTTGTCTAATTTTAATCTTAGTCGTAAGATTTTTTTGTGAAAATGGACTACTTGTAAACACAGTCTTTGGAATTTCATATCATCCGGAGTTTAGCTTTTAGTCTTCAGATATTTGTCATAATTGACGTTGTGTGTATATGTATCGTTTTTTGATGTAGATATTAAAATATTGCTATTTAATTGCTCACAAATTATTTAAAAAACATAATATCTAATAATAAGTTAAACAACAAAAAATACCCATGGCGGGGAAGCAGTGGCCTTTAACCCACAATGTAGATCCAATGTCGGATTCCTGATGGGGTATTTTGATAGAGGCCATAGGGTCAGTACTGTTCTGTATATAGAGATCTGTTCCAGTGCCCTGATGGCTAAACTGAGCAGCAGTGCGTCCATGTGTGCATATCGAATCTGAAAACAAATATAATACAATTCATTTTGCGGGAGATAGAAAGTTTCTATAAAAATGTCATAAAATGCCAAACATCATTCTGTATAATTCATGTTCAAAATAGTGCAATGCAACGGAAGATATTCAAAGTTTGAAATATTGGATATATACTTGGTGACACAAAGTAGGCTGTAATGTAGTGTTTGTCGCCGTCTTTGACCATTGGATGATTCTGAAGATTTGATGCCGGATATCCATTGCTTAGTCCTGTCGGTACCTATTAATGTAATTTTTTTTCAAAGAGTATCTATATACACAGCAAGGAAGTAAAAATAATATTGTAACAAAATATAATGGAAACAAATTAAGATATTGAAAATACTTGGTCACCTCAAAATAGCAATTGCTAATAATGTTTTCCTTTTAACAAATTGAATAGATTTTCAGAAAAAAAAATCTTTTCAGAGTCACGTATTTCAATGAAAGTGTTTTTAGAAAATAATGTATATACAGTACCCCAGCCTGAATGCCAGCGATGTAGCCGTTAACGTCATATATCAGGATGACAGCAGCGTCATTATTTTTCATGTATCTCTTTCCAAGGAAGTTAGGATGGCCTAAAGCAATATATATATATATATATATATATATATATATATATATATATATATATATATATATATATATATATATATATATATATATATATATATATATATATATATATATGGTTTTATGCTTTGCATTATGACATTATGATAATTTATCGGTGAATCAAATTAGTTTGAAAGATTTTTTTTCATGAAAAAGAATGGTAATTTCTAATTTATGATTATTCAATTATAATCAGCATGATATAAAAGTGTCATCATAGGAACATACATTCAGTAACTGATGTACACTCACAGGTGATGACAGGAAGATTTCAAAGTTATAACATAATGTGATCTCATCAACAGATATTCATCTACTCACCACATCCAGATATCATCAGATATAAAGCCTTAATTCATATCGATATTACAGATATCTCTACTCACCACATCCAGATATCATCAGATATAAAGCCTTAATTCATATCGATATTACAGATATCTCTACTCACCACATCCAGATATCATCAGATATAAAGCCTTAATTCATATCGATATTACAGATATCTCTACTCACCACATCAAGATATCATCAGATATAAAGCCTTAATTCATATCAATATTACAGATATCTCTACTCACCACATCCAGATATCATTGTGAAGCCTTGCTGTTTAGCGTCAACCTCCGTTCTCGGCATGTTGGCAAAGTTGTTACTATTTAGAGGGTTTAGGCCCCAAGTCACTGAAAGAGGCGAATAAAAACTATACATACATATGTTTTCTCTAACATTTTTACATTTATACGTACGTCTTCTTGTTTTATTATCTTTCGGGATACTATAGAATAAATCGAATAAATTGAATGATTTCTTGGTATGGATGTGAAAACATATTTTTCTTCCAAAATGTGATTTTCAATTAATATAGACAACCTGAGTCTATCCGTGATGTAAGAGAAAGGCAAAGTTCTGTAAAGAAAATCAAATCAAACAGACTATAATTCAACGTATATTCCTCTATTTGGATATACCTGATCCCTCATATTGCTATAAAAAATCCCAGTGGACCTTTTCACAAAATATCTTACGAATAAGACAAACAATCTAATTCTCAAACAAGCACATAAGATAAAATCCGTAACAAAAAAATCTTGTATTTCTGTTACAATAGCTTATATTGTGAATAATCGTTTTAGAGAAAAATGGATATCTTTATAAAGCTACAAACAGAGGGAAAAAGAGAAAGGGTTGTGCAATTTTTATCTTAGTCGTAAGATTCTTCTTAAAAAAAAGTATACTGAATTTCCTATGTATCTTGAGATTGTGTTTTTTCCCCAATGCTTTGTATTTTGAGACAGTTTTTGACACGAGGTGTAAGGGGTGTGTTTCAGTGGCTTGTAACCGTTTATCGTATCATTTACATATATGTAGAGGTCAAAGATTTCCACGATGCCAACCGTTACTGTAAATAGACTTCCAGCGTAGATAACCACTTTTACATTATGTACTTGTATTATTTAATAGTATTTTTAAATGCTACAAACTGAACTTCGATTTAAGCAGAAAACTAACCACTCACTTACCTTTCAATCCATCCCAGGGATGAGACTTTGCTGAAAAATTCAAAATCCAATTTTTAGTGCGTCTCTGATTTAGAGATAAATGTCAAGATTTGAAATATTGCAACAAACTATAAAATCTTCTGAAATCTTGAGAAAAAAATAAGTGTAAGACACTTACAGCCGAATAGGAATCCATTGCTTACACCAACAAGCACAACCAAATTGAGATACGTTGTCACAGCCATATTGATGGGTCAAGTAAGTCGAATGTAGATCTAGCTAATATATATAGCATTGAAGTATCATACATTGTTTTACTGCTTGGTGCTTCAAGATTCCCTATGATAAGAGGAAAAGTGCGGGCAAACATTGGAACATTCGATGATTCGGTAGAAGTGTCTAAAACTATGCTTTTCATCATCAGCACAGTGTCAGAGTCCTCGATAGTTTAAATAACGGCATTTGATAGTAAGCCCAATCACTGGATTCAGGTACTAGCCTTAAAATTAGACCCATTACCCCCTCAATTACATCATTTTAATTTCATTCTGTTGTAATGGGATAATACAACTCTATGTACAATGTCAATGTAACATATACAAAGATGTTTGATAAGGTTTTACGATTTGTATATTTAATTGCAAGTTGAAAGATTAAATGGGCTGGGGTTGGGGTTCAAGGATCAAGAGACACATTAATTCAAAAATTTATTTATGCCATCCCGTTAAAATAAGCAAAGTTTATAAAAACTCATGTCCTTTCCATAGTGAAGTAACTTAAATTTTCCTTGAAAAATTGTACAATTTATTTTTTTCCCTCCAATTTCTGTAAACTCCGGATAGAGTGGTAGAAGAAATTCTGGTTCAATAAGCTCTCTAACTGTAACTATTTTGCCCCCCTCATACTAAGAAATCCTTTGCATTCCTTTTTTGCCATGAAAATTTTAACGAAAATCATTACATTGTTGAAATAATGCGTTATTTTTAAATCAGCTTAAATAAATCAGTGGTTTATTAAACGGCGTTGACCTTACTAGGGAAAATATCGACAATCGAAAACCCAAGGAAATGTATTTACAAACATTCCATTTGAAATAACCATTGGGAATTAAAGAAATATTACCGTCTTTAAATTCTGGGTTTTCGTTGCTGTAATTCCGATATTTGGAATTAGCACTAATGATGTGCTAGCTTACTAAAAAGCAATAAATAGTCACTGAAGTATACCTAGAGGATTATTAAGAGATGGACTTCTTAGGAATAATTAACACATGTCGATCGTTACGATGAAAAGCTTTTAATTCAAATTAAAACGAATCGATAATAAAATCAAAAATATATATACATATTTATTACATTAAAATCAGTCTTATACAACTACACTGTTCAAAAATGAAACGCATGATAGGAATAAATACGTCGAATAATCAGTCATTCTACGATAAAAGGACCAATTCAGGGTATAAAACAGGAAAAAAATAATTGTTTCAGATAGCAAAATGAACATTATAATTCTCTATAGGACATATCAGTGAACTTGAAAAAAAAAAGAATTGTCCACAAATCTGGTATCGTTAGCTTTTTACAACAATTCCAATATACCATTGATTTTAAGGTAATGTTACGAAAGTTAATGCTTGATCAAGTCTTATTATTTTTTTAAAATTAAGCTGAATTAAACCAATTTTTTCGTTTCGGATGTTCAGTATAGAACGCTAAAGTATGATTCATGTATTTTCGCATAATTCAGATATTAAGTTAAAGTTTCGGGAAAAATATCGATACGGAAGTTAATCGTTACGGAAGTTAATTTCCAGCAATAAAAGTTAAAATTCTCGGCAATTGTTAAAATCAACGTTTGTTTTATGATGTTAAACAAAAGTATGAAGCATGTCGCTCCAAAATAATAATTTTTTGATACATTTAATGCAAAAATTTTCCTGAATAACCAATACGGAAGTTAAATTTTTAAGAGAGACTACTGTTTTTGTCTAATTCATTTTGTTATGTCGAAAATGTAATGGTCTAATATAGCTGACTCGCAACTAGATTCGATAATACTAGGTTCCGTGGTTACTTTCAGATAAGTTTCAGTTCTTTTTGAAATCTGCATTCTTTACGTAAAATTTAAAACAAAATCGTTACGGAAGTTTATTGATTTTCAGCGACATGCTATGATTTCGCATGAAAGAAGAAACATGTATTTCTTTGAAAGAAGTGGTTTGATTTCTTTTTATATAGGAAAAGAAACTTTTTAAAACATTCATTGCAATCTGTTCGGAACGTTTATACGGCTGAAATTTTCATCCTGAAATTTGTAAATGAATGAAGCGACAATAAGATTTGCACTGGAATACGTTTTTCAACACTTACATTGTGTTCATATCAAAACTGTAACTGCATATATATCGGTAAATATTTACAAAACCATGTGTGCATGTTAAGTCTAAGAGTTGAAAACGATCTTTAAATTTATAGCTAAAATATTACAACGGTAAATTTGTAAGCGACATAAAAAAAATCCTTAATGTTTTGTAGAATGACTGTAATATAATACAATAGTTTTGTCAGACCTTTTTTTGATAAACATAATTCATTCGTGTAAAAATTCATTTATTTTTAATAATAGTTCAATTAAGTCCTCAGGTGACCTTAAAATGTTTGACTGAAATATAAAATATGCAACGCATTATAAAAAAATACTCAAACCCCATAATTCACTCCGTTAATAGTACTTTATATTAAACGTGTTTCCAAGAATAGCACATCATACAGAACAAGATTGATTTCTTTTGTCAACTTATCAGAGCCCATCTTCCAGGAAGTCATGTAATATGAGGATTTTGAATAAAAATTGAGCACACAGGAGTCTATTTTTCTTCGTTACACATTTATTTAGAAACATCTTATATTGACATGTATTTACGCTAGAAACGAGTGATACACACTAAGATAGTTTAATCTGATACACTGTATATATATTTTTAGCTCACCTGAACTGTAATCTGAAGTGAGATGACCACTCGTTATCCGGCGTCCATCTGCCCCGCTATGTGTCTCACCAACCATCTGTATACGTAAAATTTACGCATGTTTACTTCTCTAGAACCACTGGACAAATTTCGATCTAACTTGGCCAAAACACCCCTGATAAGGGAGATTCAAAATTGTTTAAAAAGGGCCATGCTCTTTCCCAAGGAGAAACAACCAAAAAAGGCAAAAACAGAATGGGATCATTTAAAAATCTTCTACTCAAGAACCATTGGGTCAGAAAACTTAGTGAAAGGTTCCTGGCAAGGTGTAGATACTAAATCATTCAAATCATGGCCCTGTGTAAGATTGGGCCAAATTATGAAAATTCAAATTCCAAAATCTTTGGGACATCATCGATCTACCTCCTGAATGAAAATGAAAATTTTGAAACCTTATTATTGTACATCTGCAGGACACCACCATGCAATTATATTCCGAACCATGGTCTGATTGAGTGATTGTTGTTTTACGTCCCATTCGAGAATTTTTCACTCATTTAGAGACGTCACCATATACCGATAAAAAGCTTCAAATTTAGACATTTACTCGGTACTCATGGCCATTGAGCAGTGAGGGTTCTTTCTTGTGCCAAGTTGACTAATAATCATATTCCGAAAGAAAATTTGGCATAAGCTCTTGATCAACAGGACACAGCAGATTTTGTAGGGCAAAAGTAGGGCAAAAGTCGATTTTAATCCCTTATTTGGACCCAGGATTAAAAGGAAAAGTCTGAATTCTTCTTGCACATATGCAAGATGGTTTGTCTACTGAATTGACTGTAAGAGAATTTAAGTTTGAGGAAAAAGATGATGTGGCAGATGGACCGACAGGAATAACAACAATATACTCTAATTTTCCTTAGAAATTTGTGTATAAAACAGTTGGTAAATGAAAGAAAGAAATAGTCTGTAATTGTATTTCTTTTATTTGAAAGTTGAGGTAAAAATCTTTGGTTTTTTAACTGAAACAAAATATGATGTGGAAAACACGAGAGAAATACTTAATCGCAGAGTAAGTCAGTCTGTGGACGTCCATTAAGGTAAATATGAAGTGTTGAAAGTGTCCCTGCTTTGTCAAGACAACTAGGTATAATTTTCATAAATGCCTGAAATGAGAGAAATGAGAAGAAAAACAATCAATGCGTGACTTTAGATTCATTTATAGCTGTAGTTGCTTTCCTGTCTCCTTTCAATAAATAAAGAATAATACTGATGCATGATTATTAATTTCACAATTAATTATTAATTGTTTTATTTATCAAAAAAGTGAAAATTATAGTCCCTGAAACACTTCCGAAGAATTTTCAATTTCATAAATTTCAATGTTTATGCAAAAAGGCTAGACAATTCCTTTGTAAAGTTTGCATTTGGTTTACGTGCCTTTATGCAAGAAGACGTTAATGGATGTTTGAAAACGGTGTACGACTCAATTTCTTTTAATTTATGTGCGCTACAATTCGGAAGCATGCCAGTTTTGAATGTTCCTTTTTAATGAAGTATGAAGATAACGAACAGTTATCAAGCTCAAAAGTCAATTGTTGGAACAAACAAAAAAATTGGGAGTAGAGCAAACATGGACCTCTAAAAACATCAGAGGTGGGACCAGGTGTCATAGGGGAGTAAGCATCTCCTATCAACCGGTCACCCCGATGTGTGCTCTTTGTCATGATGGGGCAACCGGAAAAGTCCATAGACAATTCAGTGTGAAATAAATGGCATAACAATTTGAATGAAAGAAAAAAAAACCAACTCAACATTCGACTTAACTATATAGATTGTATTTGCTAATAAGTCCATTGTTTGCCAAATGTTGACTTTAAACGGGACTGTTGATATCATTGTATCATCAACTTATTTGTCAGTAGCTGTGAAGTCATCACGTTTATCATAAATTTTGTTGTTTGATTGCCATTAATGTTTTGCTAGTAAAATATCCAAATATGAAACAGATGTATCAGACTCTGTGGTGTCTTTTATTTCGAGTTCAAAGGGATATATCGAATCAACATAAGAAAGAAAATGAACATTGGTAATATATAGATAAAGTCTATATATCTAAATGTCAAATTAAAGGCTACAGCAAGAGACTTTTTTCATGTAGAAGTTTTTGAATAAATTCATATGAATACAAAAATAGTTCTGCTTATAACGGGGCGCAATAAGTACCCATAGAAATTCCAACATATTGTTGGAAGACTTGATCTCTAAAGCTACATAGAAATTGTCAATCAGAAACTTAAGCATTTTAACTGTGTGTACAATCAGTTTTTTTTTTTCTGCAGATGACCAGTGACAAGGTATTTAAATTTACTAGTTCCATTTTTATTGAAAAAGCAGCTGTCTATATGATGTCAAAAAATCTACACTTTAATTTACACATCACTCTGCTTTAAGAATTTGAAATTAAACATTTATGAAAAACCATTTTCAAAAACTGTAATTTGTTTAAATATGTCCAAATCAATGAGAAAGCCGTTCATGGCCAGTAATATCATCAATGATGTGAAACAATGCTTCTGGTGAAATGTTTATCATTACTTCACTCCATTCCTTACCCCTTTTTGAATGGAGCGGTTCGAAAATCTGTATGCCAACAGATTTTGACTTTTAAAGGAAATCCATTTTGTCACATTTTTTAAAAAGATTTTTTAAATTAAAAATACACGAATTTCGATTGCAAAACTGTAAATATTTTAAAATCAATGCTAGTATCCTTACTTTAAATGATGAGTGGGAAGGGTGTTCGTATCTTGGTGACGAAAGTTCTGCCTTAAAAACCCAACCAAATGCATTTAAGACTCCTCCATTATATAAAAGAAACATGGGGAAAAGTTGCTCACATGACATGTCAACGGTAGTATCATACCAATAATGAACACCTACGACATAAAAGCAAAATAATCCTAATGAAAATGGTATAATAATAAATTAAATTACTTTAATTTGTGATTTATTTTGCTAAAAAGTTAGAATAATAAGTAACAAGAATTCAATACAATAAATTGATTATCTTTAGTACAAGTACAATTAAGTTTATATAGGGTTTGTGTCGCATGGCAAAATATTTTAACACATGCAAATGTGAATGATCATGTTTCTAATGGCACGTCAACGTTGATATTCCATCTTTTCCATTTGTATAGTATAATTTTCCATTTATATTCTTTAATGTTCCATTTGTATTGTATAATGTTTATTTGTATTGTATAATTTTCCATTTGTATTGTATAATTTTTATTTGTATTGTATAATTTTCCTTTGTATTGTATAATTTTTATTTGTATTGTATAATTTTCCATTTGTATTGTATAATTTTACAATACAAATGGAAAAGTATACAATACAAATGGAAAATTATACAATACAAATCAGAAATTATTAGGGATGTCAACGAGTGCCCGGTTAACCGGGTACTCGATCGAACGTCCGAGTATCGAATACTAAAAATGGTACTCGGTTACTCGGATGTGTATTTTTTCTTATTTCAAAGTACATCTTTTTATCAAAAACTTAACAAAAAATAACTCAAATATGCATACGGGTAATTAGCGTTTCGTCATCTACACATGAAAACACCCGTTATCGCCTATGGCTGTGTATATACAGTAATTAGTAACCAATCACCTGGTACGCAGCTGTTCTTACCTATTGTGGTCCTTAATTTTTGATAGCTTCAATGATTGTTTTTTTTTTTCAGTGAACATCGTTTAATTTGGTCTATCATCTTCAAATCATTTTAAAATTATTTAGCTAATATACGGCAGCGAAATTGGACGTGCATAAAAATGCCGTTACCCACTTCAAAATAAGTAAAGATTCCGAAAAAAAAATTTTAAAGTCAGTTTCCATGGTATGTTTAGTGTATAAGGGGGAAACAACCAACATATGAAAAAATATTAGACTAGCGATCCAACGATATCCGTACCTTCTCTTTCGCTACTAGTCTAATAATCACAAACCTGCGTAACAGATTGTCCTCCTTTTGCGGTGATGAAATAGATCCTAAACAAGAACTGTAAACCATTTGTAAATTGTGTCTTTTGTATTTATTTAGAACCAAAAATCATTTCCGTTGGACTCCATGTTTATTATATACATTCATAAATTGTGATAAAAACAGCTTTGGTCAATCGAAACTTCTCGGGCCTTTCCGACAAGCGGAAAATAACCTTGAATGTGTTACGTAGGCGTCCATTACAACCCCCCCCCCCCTTTTCATAAACTTTGCAATAAATGTAAGGAGACCTATTATCTGTAGAGTTTGGAGCTTAACTTTATTGAATGTAGAAATATCACCTAAAATATACTACAGGAGTGACCTTTAACTCTGTCTTTCCAATGCTTTAATAAATAGGAAGCGACTCCATCTTTTATAAATTTTTAACATCCGGTGATGTTACATTCGAGGTTGTTTTTCCGACCTCTGACGGAAAGACCCGAGATGATGCGATTGCTTTGGGGTTTAACAAATTAACAATTAAAAAATTAACAAACTTGTATTAATTTACATTTTTATCGAGTACCCGGGCACTCGACTGGAAAAACGTCAGAGTAACCGATTATCAAAAATTGACCAATTTGACATCCCTAGAAATTATACAATACAAATGGAAAATTATAAAATACAAATTGAAAATTATACAATACAGATGGAATATTATGAAATACAAATAAAAATACAATACAAATGAAAAAATAAAGAATACAAATGGAAAATTTTACAATACAAATGGAAAATTATACAATGCAAATGGAAAAGATCGAATATTGTAACGTTTGACATGCCATAACTTCTGAAGCATCGATGAACTTATCATGAGAGCTATACTACACTCTAGGTGAAAATAAAGAATCTTTCAAACAAACAAATATCTAATAATGTATAAATGTTTCTGGTTGCCAGTAATTTTTCTGTTAATTTTCTATCAGTTTTTTGTTCTCACTTTATCAGATCTGATATTGATGGACTATTGCTGCACAACATAAATCTTATGAACTTAAGCATCTGATTACACATGTTATGTTTGGAAGTTTGCAATGTTGAAAATTAATTAAAATGCTGGTCAAAGAGATTTATTTAGCAAACAGAATAGTACAATACAAATTCTACTATTCTATAATGGAAAAAATATTTAAAAAAAAAATTAATGTAAACAATATTTATATAAGTCTTATTGATATTAATTAGAAGTTTTTAAAGTTTTTCTATAACATGTAATACAAACAAGCAATGCATTCTTCAGAAAATAACTGTTTACCCATAGATGGGAAGCAGCGACCTTTGACCCATTTTGTCGATCCAATGTCGGATTCCTGATGGGGAATTTTGATAGACTCCATAGGGTTAGTACTATTCTGTATATACAGATCGGTCCCTGTACCCTGAGTGCTAACCTCACCAGGGGTGCGCCCACGTGCACATATCAAATCTGTATGGAAAATATATATTTGAAAGCAATTTTTTCAAAATACTTTAAGATTATAATCTATAGATTATTTTACTCTAATACGTAACTATTTTTAGAAATAATTATCAGAATTAAATTTATACCTGGTGACACAAAGTAAGCTGTAATGTAATGGTTGTCAAAATCTCTCACAAATGGATGTTTCTGGAGCACTAATGAAGGATATCCATTGCTCAATGTTGTAGGTATCTGTTAATTCAAAAGTCAAGTTGTCTTCATTAAATTAGATTGTTCGAACTCTTTCAAAGATTTTGCCAATAACCATATGAATGCGAAGTAAATTTTTTGTATATTTCGTATAAAAATGAAAAATATATGATAGAGATTATAATCCTCATTGTCTTTCATGCAAGGTTTTGTGATTTCGGAACTCCACACAAACCCTTGACATAAGTCGTTATTTAAAAGTTTGGCAAGAAAGTTACTATTTCATTTGTTCCTGGTCTAGGACTGGAACCAATCAGAAAACAGCTTTTATTGTAGGTAAGTTTTGTACATTGTAAGCAAATATGACTCGTCTTTAAAACTGAAAGTGTCAATATTGTAGGATTTGTGACTAGTTACTTTAAATAAAACATCAGGGATTAATTTTTTGAAGATCGTCCTCCTTACAATCACAAAAGATATGCTCTGGAGTTGGGCAATTTGATAACAGCGGATTTGAAAAATATATTCTCATTGGTAAGTTTGTAATTACCCATTACGTCATGTGTAATCACAAGCCCAACTTTTAAATAACGACTTATGTCAAGTGTTTGTGTGGAGTTCCGAAATCACAAAACCTTGACATTGTGAGGATGAGAGATTATGGGCATATTAATTATGCTAAGATAGAGTATTTATATAAAATGCAAAACATCAGTCAAATTCAAGTTTTAAATAATAAGAATAATAGTAATATAATTAAAGATATAATTAGACTTGTTAAATGAAATATGATTTTATCTTCTTTAGTTATTCATTCTAAATTAATAAAATGTTTACAGATACCTTACTTACATGTTGCTAAATTTAATGACGCAAGTTTTCTATGACAATACTGTTTGTGTCACATATTTCAATGACAGCTTTCATTAAAAGCATTGAATTGTAATTTTTATTTTTTACATTCATTGCGTCATTACACGGCTCAGTGAGCTGCACAACTGTTCTGAGAAATTGAATAATATGCGGGTTAGGAAAATTAGTCTGCACAGACGATCTTGGAAGAACATGATTGACGTCATTTTTAAAAAAAAAATAAAACTTCGCTTCTTTTAATAATTTATGTCAGTTTTAATTAATGCAAGCCATACTTGTATTGTAAAATGAGGGAATTGCCGTCCAACCTTAAAGTCAATTTTGCTTTTCGCTTATGATGTACTACATTCAACGTTTCTTGGCGTCATGATAAAAAATCATCGCTTTAATTTTTTGTCCTCCTCGTCTGACCGTGTTATAATATACAGAAGTTTCAATATACTTTTTAAGAAAAATAAACATCGAATGTTGATAGATGGCCTTGAAAGCATACGTACCCCTGCTTGGATACCAGCAATGTAGCCGTTGACGTCATAAATTAGGATGACTGCAGGGTCATTGTCTTTCATGTATCTCTTTCCAAGAAAATTGTCATGTTCTAAAAGTGAATTACAAAATTAATGTATTTAAAAATATCATTACTTCTTCAATTCGGAAATACTAAAGTATGAAGTGGTTAGATAATTCAGATTATGATTAAGAAATTTTCATAATCTAGATTGTCTTTCTAGTACATGTGTCTATCTACTTTCATTTAGCTAAATGTTTTCTTTTATATAACACTATTAAAGGCAACGCGTATCTATATCCATATAAACACGGGTTCCTCGCGTCATAAACGTTCGACGTAATTTCTCAGTGACGTCATAAAGGGTCGAGGCGCAATCAGTGGATCAAACATGTGCCGTTGGGTTTGAAAAAAAAAACCGTTTCACGTGTTAAATATTATAATCAGGCAAATATAAAATATGAATAAATCACAAATGTAAATATAAGCAATAAGGTATCATTTTAAAACATCTATCGGGCTATAAATACGGGTTGGTACGAGATCAAATTTACCATAAAGCCCTTCGGGCTTTATGGAATTTGATCTCGTGACCAACCCGTATTTATAGCCCGATAGATGTTTAAAAATGACACCTTATTTCTTAAATATACTTACCACATCCTGATATTATTGTAAAGCCTTTCTGTTCAGCCTCGGCCTCTGTTCTGGGCATATCGGCAAAGTTGTTACTACTGAAAGGGTTTACACCCCAAGTCACTGAAAATTGCAAAGTTGTTGCTCGTCATTTAAAGGTTTATATATTTATATACCCCAAGTCTCTGAAAATTGCAGCAAAATTGTCACGATTAAAGAGTGTTGAAAATTGCGATTTTTTTTTTACTAATAATATTAAAGGGGTAGTATCCTAAGTCACTGAAAGTTGTATGCTTTTGGTTTTGAATAAAATGGTTTTTTTTCTACTTGTGGTATGTAAAACTAGCTTGGGCACTTAATACGAGATATATTTCAAAACCATTGAACAAAGCAGTAAATGGCGTACAGGCCCATATCAAAGGTTTTAAAAGTAGGGGCCAACTTCTCCAAAAAAAAAAAAATAATAATAATAAAAAAATAAAAAACGAACTAAACTGTCCAAAATTGAAAACCCTTAGGGGGGGTTACAAGCGGTTGAGGACAATCACCCCCCCCTCCCACCACCATCTCCGATATAGACTCCAGAGCCATTTTGACTTTTTTTTCTCATAAATTATCTTTCAATGTCATAATCATGATATTATCTATACTATCAATTTGAAAAATTACCTAAAACAAATACTTTATAAAAAATTCCACACATGTGCACTCTATGCATATATACAATATGACATTGAAAGATAATTACGGCCTGAAGCACCTGTGAAATATGCCAGCGTCTGTATATCAAATGCTCGAAAACGCCATCATACCGAATTGTACTGAAAATTATATTGAATTATACTTCCGGAAAAAAAGTATAATGTAACTGTGACATGAAGGGAATAACTTAAAGACCCAATTTTTTTACCGTACGGTTACCTGAGGAGGGGGAGTGGTCTAGGTAGTATTGGTGTTATTTACCTGGAGAGCCCCAATACCCAAGATGTCAAAAATTCCTATACACGCTGCATTACACAGGAAGTCCGGCTTTTGGTAATCAGGATCAACATTACGCGTTTTGTGCATAATTTTGAGTAAAATTATTTAAAATAAATTATGTACTAAAATATAAAATTTGTATACTTAGCGTTTTCGTCGATATCTTTTGAAGAAAAAAAATTAAAAAGAAATATCTTTTTAAAAATCGTAAAATAAAAAAAAAACGAGTGAAAACTACAAAGCAATCGTATCAATATTTTAATCGCCAATAAAAGAAATTATTATAAAATATTAAGTGTGAATATCGAAATAAAAAGATTCCACTTATTGTGTGGACATTTATCAGGATCGGAATATTATTTACTTTTCTGGCGAACAACGGTGTACAAATATTCGACATTACCGAGGGTCCGTGTTCTTATGCCCTGTTTACAGATTTGGATATAAAAAGAATCTTTCGTACGTAATTCATAGCGTTAGATACAAGATACTTTATCTATATTAGTATAAATATCTTTTCTTATTTAATCCATTATATTCTGTTGTTATAATTTTCAAATGGTGGGGGAGGGGTCGATTGTTTTCAATGACGGCGAATTGATCGAGTTTCTGTCGACAAGGGCATTACGTACATTCTTAAAATCAAGGCACAGGTTGAATAAAGGGCTCGGAAGAATTATCGGTCTGTGCTGCTACAGAAACTTCTCTCTTCGTATCTCAGTTATTGAAGGAAGAGAGGGCTTGAATATCCCTAATTTTTCTTCGAAAAGTTCTACAGTTATCTTGGACGTTTTATCTCTAACAAGTACAGAACAGCAGTGGAGATTGAATAAAAAAAATTACGATGTCATCATTTAATTATCTACTCTCAATTATTTTTTAAAAATAAAATTATCAACCAATATAACAGCGACATGAATTTTTTTAACCAGAGTGTATACCAAGCGACCTATCACGCGGTACATGAAAGCGTTTGACGCGTGACCAGGTAATTGTTTTCAAAACATGCAAACTCAGATTATCAGGTAGCCCACGTAGCTGGCCCGTCAATCAAATCAGAAGCTATTCAAAAAATCATCTGAATATGTGTTTATTCTAAACGTCCACATGATATGACATCACCTCGCCATTTCTTACCTGTCGATGTATTTCTTAGCTTGTTTTTTTTTAATGATTGACAGGCGGTATACTATTGATCTTGAATTAGGTAGATTTTGGGGGCCTTAACATAAAATTGGGTGTTTAAATACTAGTAAATCATCATATGATTACATAGTTTTTAAGAGGAGAATTTTGATCTTTTGGTCATAAAAGCATATCGATAGTATTATTTTGCATATGTGTATTTTTTCAAGTGCAAGAATTAGGGTCAAATTCGATTGATTGGGTACTTAAATATAAATATAACGAATTGACTTTCTAATACCATTACGTCGAAGAGTATGATTAGTTCCGATATCATTTACCTTTCAAACCGTCCCAAGGATGCAGCTTTGCTGAAATGTACAATTTACAAAAGTGTTATCCAAATATTCAAAAATAATTAATTTATTCAAATATTGAAACTGACTTTAAAAGTAACATGAAACTCAACACATTTATGAAAGAACTTACATCCAAAAAGAAATCCATTGCAGGCTCCAACAAGTACGACGAGACGGGAATACATGGACGAAGCCATGAAAAGGTGGTGGAAGTATAATGAGGACAAACGTCTTTATATGCAGCTCTGTTTCAATAGTGAACGTTATTTCAATAGTGGTTACAAGCTGTGTTTGGTTTTGAAATGCTTTCTCAACCACTATTGAAATAATTATTTCAATAGTGGTCGTTATTTCAATAGTGGTTGCAACACAGCTCTGTATAAATTGTGTGTAAAATTTCATTGCAGCTGCTTTTTGGACTTTGAAATGGCAATTTTGCATACAAACAGGATTAATTTATCATTTAGAGAACATACGATCTTGTGAAAACTAGATATGACTTTGTGATGCAGAGGTCCCGGTTACTTTTCCCGGTCCAGCAATACATTTTTTTATATCATTGTCATTATTATTAACAAAATGTACCACCACACAATCCCAAGTACATGTAGATTAGAATTTGATCAAATTAGGGCCCCGGGGGTAGGCGGAGGGAAATGGAAGATCAAAGTTTTCTATCTATGGGGGGTACACAAAATGAAATTATACAATCTTCTTTCGAAGAACAGCAGGCCCATGCATGATAAGTCATATCAATATTGATTGCGCCCATGACAAAAAGGTCATTATGACAGTTTTTCTAGATGAAAGAAATAACGTCATAAAGATGTGACGCCGGTAACGGAGAGACGGTGAGCGTCGACGAAGATTTTTTTTTAAATCCACGTGTTTAATGTTTTGACACGTCTAGTTTTTCATTTATATAAATTATTTAATTTGTTTCAGGATCTTTGTGTCCACTGGTTTTAAATAAAATTTTATTCGAGATCGGTTTCTTTACTAGCTATATGTTTTTGATCTTCATGTACATGTATATTCAATTTCCTAGAAGCTTATGACAAGGTGATTTTCTGACTAATGAATATGGAGGAACGAATGTGATTTTGATATGTATAGAGCAGTCTGAGGTTACATGCTGGACAGGAACATATTTCTAAAATATTGCAGGGGGAATTAATTATTTTCCTCTATAAGATCCGCTCCGCTTTTCTCAACTCTTGGTGTAAACTTCTGTTGTAAAATGTTTTATACGTCTAATTTGGTTTAAAAATGAAACTCAACACACGTTTTTCCTATGGAAAAGTATTTATTCCAATTTTTCACAAATCCAGCGAAGAATACACGTGTAAGAATGAAAGACGGAACATTGTATGGAAGCATCCTCGGATAATGTACATTCAGCTATGTTTAAATCAAGGTCCTCGGGGGTAGGGCTTCAATATAGGATCGATCGAGAAAGCAAGGCCAACTAAATCATATTAATATGAAAACATTCCTAAGATGTGTGGATTTATTTTTTTCTTCAAATCTTGAATTTTAGGTAAGAAAATATTTATCATCAGATTTTACATAACGCCAATGCTCAGGGGAAAAAATTGAAAATTCTTTTTACAGAACAGCAAAACCATGTATAATAGGTCATATTGAAGCATCTGCATTACCACATTGATTCAAAGTCTGTTAACGCATTGAGGCTATGTAGAGGTCAAAATATGGGGAGGACCAAACATTTTTATGGGAATAACAATCTTCCTTTATACAGGGCCAAGGTGACTCAGATGAACATTGTGACCCATGGACCTCTTGTTGTTTACCAGTAATTGAAAGGAAATATTCAAATACATGTATTCATGAAAATCGTTCGATACGTAAAATACTAGAAAACCACTGTTTTTTAAAAATCATATGTTCAATATCTTTGTTCGTATAAGAAACAGATTGTGCACAGTGTAATGAATCATCCAACAATTTTTTTTTAATATAAAATAATCATACCTGATTTTTTTTTACACAGAAATAAATTACCGTTTTTACTACAATGCCAAACAAACTAGAGAATTGATCTAAAGAAGTTTCCATACATGTACTTACCTCTGTCTTATTTCCTTGCCTTGACTATAAATTCATGTATTCCAACCTCAATATTAAAACGTAACGTAATTTGGTTATGACGTCATTAGTTTACATTTTTAAAAGGGGAGATAATCTAGATAAATTACATCCGTGTACATTACGTCCAGTGAACCCTAACTCCGTCACCATGGCTTTTTTTCAAGTTTAGTTTTCTCCCTTCATCTTAAACGTGTAAACATAGAAAATTAGTTTTGAAGATTTAAAATAGTATTAAAATGTATTTTAGGAAAAGTATCAACAACAGAAAAAATAACGTTAATATAACGTATTTTATATGTAATAACGTCACGCTACGTAATCTCGAACGTGTAGCGTATTAGGGCAAGTTGAGACGAAAAATAAAACATTTTTGCTGTATTCAATATGGTATGTCATATTAATCCTTTAGCAAAGACCTTCATAAATATGACTGACAAGTAAAAATGGGCATATTGACGCACATGTCGGAGGTATCGATGGAATAGCGCATAAAGGAAAAAGCACTTACTGATTTCACATAAAATATGATAGATACAATAGATCACGTGTAATTGTTATTTATTTTTGACGCATTCTTGAACTTGACTGTAATAATTTCTCGGCATTTGATTGTAGATTTTCAGCATGTAAAAAATGATGTCACAATCGCATTCGTTTACAAACAGCGCGTTTTCCAAAAGTGAAGGAGTAAGGGTAGTGACGGAGTTAGGGGGTTTGGCGATACACACTTTTGGTGCAAAATCGCCAACAATCGCTAAGCTATGACGTCTCAACCAACCGCTCAACCATGACTTCACGATTATATCCCGCTGTGTTACAAAAAGACAGAGGTAAGAGGGAAATCACTGGCGAGACAGGATTTTTTTTAACCCCCCTCCCCGTGAAAATATATAAAAAAAAAAATCCTGTCCCACTCGTGAAATCAATTCCATATCCAAGTACAAAACACTGAATATCCTCTATATTAAATAAGATAATACTACTGACCAGTTCATTTTAGAAAGAACAGTATCAACCTTAAGGTCATACACAACGTACCTCACAGCAAACATTACAACTTACCTTCCCTGGTGATAATTTTCAAGATATTCTGAATTTTAAATCAAAGTACCATCTGATGTTCTTAGATTTAAAAAAAATCAGCATACGTTACTAGAGATTTTGAATAGAAATCAAATGATGAAAAGCTTGGGTTTTTCAAAGAAAATTTTCGAACATACAGTTTTAGCTGGTATTTTCTCAAAATTTGTTTTAGAAGAGATGTGTACAGCATCATTAGACATAATTAAAGTTACACAAAAGCCCTTCATTTATTGGAACTCTTTCAATTACTAGTATACAAGGAATGAGGGAAAAAGTTGAAAACTACGTTGCACATGTTCTCCAGAATATGACTTTATAATCTGATTGATCAAGTAAATGGTTAATTATACAAGGATTATGACCTAAGTAAGATTAATATTGATTAAAGAGCACAGGAATTGCTAATGGACAGATTTCAATCATTACATGGGTGGTTAGGGAATACCCAAAATATTAATGCGGCTTGATTTTTTTTTAAGTTCGCCTGTTTTCCAATATATCCGACATTAGTGTTAATGATGTGCTAAAGCATATTTACAAAGCAATTAATACTTATCCATATAAGTATTACTGGTAGATATACACTTACTGCTCATAATGCAATGAAGCCTTCTGCGATCGCTAAAATCCTTCTGTCTTCCATTTGGAAATTTGTTTGTTTTTTTTTTGTTTTGTTTTTTTCAAACCCATTTTACCACTGCTTACATTAGAATGTGAATACCCTATCTTTGTACTATTTAAAAATGTGCAACCAAAGCAGTACTGTAGTCTTCATTTCAAACATATGCATGCGCTCCCCTTAATTATTTTTTTAGCCATATCGGAATTTATAGAACAGTGGTTCTTTTTTTTTAAATTTACTACTGTCATGGGTAGCGCAAAGAAACAACACCAGAAGATAAAGTGTGAGTCCTTTCCTACAATCAGATTATTCTCATGAAAGTTTTGACGGTTGACGGATTAAAATTTTCCAAAAAAATGTCCTCCTCTGCTCAATGCCGACAAATGTTTCACGAAAATTAAAACTAATGTTCGCGTAAATTCACCCAAGCGCATCACCTCTGCAATATTTAGTATACAAATATAAAAAATACGGATAAACAGCTACATCTATACTTATAAATTAATAAATTTTGCAAATAAACTCCGAAACGGGTGCATCAGAGTTCTTAATTACTCTGCTAACAATACACTGTATACAAGATGATGTCCGTAAACTATATTTAGATTTCACTCCCATAGTATCGTACATTAAATTAAAAGTCTACTTTCATTTTCTATAAACAGCCATGAAATAGGAAAAAAGTGAGTACGGTGGCGTTTCCGGTTGGCGGATCTAAGTTACTGGCAATTTTTAATGAAACTGACAACAAGCAATCGTTTATTTATTTCAAAAAACGTCATCACTGAATTATTCAATCAAAACTTGATTTAAATGATATAAAAGAAATATGTTGTAATAACCGATTAAAAAGGGAAATGTACAAATTATTTTCGTCATTCACCGATCTTTATATTGACGGAAGCTTCTAGAACATCATATAGCATCGAGCCCGATGTTAAAAAGAGAAAAAAACCCGAGGAGATTACAGCTGCATGAACATAAAAAAGCTTTTGTGTGAATAATCATTGAAATAATGGTAAATAATTGATAACACTATAAGTTGTGAATATATTTATATATCGAAAGACTATTACATATTTATAGTAGGTTTTCCTAATAAATTTATCAGTAACCGAGAACATCGTGGCAACGAACCCGAAGTACAATTTGTACTTCGTAATAAACTTGCTTACACGAAAAGGGAAAATTAATGAATAAGGTATTGTTCAAATACAATTAAAGCTGTAAAATTTTGTGCTTTAATCAATACATTTCAGTTTTTTTTTTTTTTTTTTTTTGTATCAAATACTCGGCCTATTCATAGAGCATTAAAAGCTTTTTTTCACTGGTACTTGGGTCTTGGTTTATAAATATGTATGTACCTTATTGATATGTAAAAAAAAAAGAAGTAAAGTACATATTTATCAACCAAGACCCAAGTACCTGTGAATCCCCCCCCCCCAAAAAAAATCAATTTATCAGTAAAATGTGCATATTCGCTTATTTCGCTGCTTTTATCCGCGACGGAAATGAAATAAGAGCATCTGAAGTGCAATATCCATAACATAGTATTACAGGTTTCAAAATAAATGTCAATTAATGAAATTGTTATTTTTCAAGCTTTTAGAAAAAAGGGGGGTGGGGTGGAGACAATTACATCTACTTCATGCGGGATTTTGAACAAAGTATTTCTTCCTGCTAGAAGCCTGTAGGCTGTCAGTAGAAACTACAATATATTTTCTGTCGGTAGTGGTATAAATTCAATTCCCCGCGCTTGCGCGGGATTTCATCTAGTGTACAGTATAAATTTAGTTATCCGTTGCCAACTTGGTGTGTGGATGAACTCACAAATATATCCATGTATCTTCGTTAGCTAAGGGTCTCTTCTTTCTAGATAAGTGTTGCGGATCAGAAACAAGCAATAACACACATCTTCGTCTACAGATGAAATACAGAACTTACAGGGGTTCTTGTAGAAGTTTGTACTTGTAGGAGTTCGTACTTGTTGCCATACTTGCTAACAAGCAGAGAGAGTTTCAAGCCCCAAGATAAGAAATGGTGTAGAAGTCAAATATTCCAAAGTAATAATGTTACACAATAAGTCACTGTGGTTCCATGCTTTTGAATTTAAACATGTAATAGGAAAAATGTCTTCTTTGGCAAAATTAGAGCAAACCATGTGGATCTGTACAATACTTCAATGAAAGTATTAATCCATCTTAGAGAGCTCTTACAATGGAAAAAGAAAGAGGCATGGACGTGTTTTCGAGGTGTAAAAAGCGAAAGACAATTATGTTAGATTTTACATTTTAATATAATGCCAAGTTTAACATAAAATGACATAAAACACTGTCTCATATCAGGAATTAATCAGTTTTAAAACACAAAATAACATAACGTTTAAATAATGAAAAATCACAGATAATTGATTGGAGCTTCAGAAAATCATTGTGGTCTGTGTTTCCTGAAAATAAAGAAAATTCTATGAATAATAAGAGGCATCAATATGATAGCATACTCTTACAATGTGGCTTAAATGCATATCTTGAGACATGATAACTTTCACAATATATTTCCAACATTTACTTCTGCATTAAGAATTACAAATTTGATACTTTTATTTAAGGCCCTAGGTGATGTGATACTGTAGATTCCTTATTTTACGCGACTACTTAATATCGCGAAATGGCCCTAGGGCGTCAAATCGCGAGAACAATAATTCGCGAATGGGTGATTTTTCTAGAGATTTTACATACATTAAAGTACCATAAAAATAAAAGCTAGTTATTTTATTTCGCGAGCGGTGCTTCTCGCGTAATTACGCGATAATTAATTCCTCGTGTATATTTAGGAATCTACAGTAACCTGAGTACTTCTTAAGTAAGTTCACTTAATATTTATTTCAAAAGCAGAGGATGGTAAAACAAAACATCTTTAAATTTTTGGAGTCACTCAATCAGAAGTCAAGATCAAAAGTGCAAGATTACAGATGTTTGTCTGAATGATTTCAGAGGAACAACCCTCTTATAAGAGAGATAACTTTCCAAGTATATAATCCTAAAATGTCTGAAGGTTTGTCTTACTAGCGTTTAGTACTGGAGACTATTACAAAGTCAATTCATAAGATACAAACATTGACTACTATTTTCTTTTTTCAACATTTTTGATAGTTATTAATAAAATTTGACCTAAAACAATTGCACCCCGTTTTTTAACTGTTACAATATAATAAATTAAGATATTTCTATCTCTTCATAAAGAATTTAATACTACACAGTAATTTTATCATATACCATTTATAGAATTTGCATTATTAGACACTAAATATATTTTTTCCTAGAAAAAGTATTTTAAAGATAATTCTTGCTGATGGATGCATTTTTTTACATGCACATTTATTGATGTGATATTCTGACTTAAAAAGCAGTGTTTCATTATTTTTTCAATTATGAATTTAAAGGGGCCTTGACACATTTGCATTGACGTTTTGTTTACAATTTCAATTTTTATTTCTATTCATTGAATAACTCTAGTTTAATGAATTGAACTTTCATGAAAATTCTTGAAATTCAATAGCAAGGACATTTTTCATCACGTCAATCATCTGTCTGCATTATATGTAATATAGGCACGACCTGTAGTTGTCAATGTTTACGTTTTACAGGGCAAGTTCAATTTGTTTATGCTGCACACATAACTGAGCATAAACTGACAATACTGGTGAATTGGTTTTGCTTTCTCACATTTCTACTCCAAATTTTCTGGATCATAGTTTTAATAGTTTTCATTTATACGCAACAAGTTTTCCACTTTTCTTAAATATTGTGGATAATATTTACCTCGTGAAAGTACAAGAATGTGTGTAAATCAAATGCTACCGGAAATTCATAGTTTTAATAATTTCCAGATGAAAGAAGTTGCTAATGAAATCTGTATCCATTCTAAATATTATTGTTAAAAATGAAAATCTGAAAATATTGGGAGTTTTCTTTTTTTCTTTTTTTATCTTGGGGGTGGGGGTAATTTAGAGCAGAGGGTTATTTAAATAAAAAAATAAAGGTCAAAAAAAGATCAAGATTTTAGATATGCAAGTACTTATTATTATTTGATGTGATAGCTCAAGTTTGTCCTAACATAATGGCTTCATGTTAGTGGAATTTATATATGATCATTAAAGAAACATCTGTCAACTTAGGGCTCATTCAGAGGTCAAGGTCAGCATGTCAAGATTATTGTTTAAAGTTCACTGCAAGTTCTGTATGACTGTCTGTTTAACTTTGAAATTAATTAATAAAAAACAAAACTTTTTATTCCTCTCTACATCTGCTTAAGAAACTAACTCACAGTGTCTGAGGAACTTGTGTTGCCACTCCTAACACTAATCTTGACATTTGTGACAGAGACCCAAAAGATAAAATGCTTCATAAAGTAGAAAACAAGAGGGGATTTCATAATGGTAAATGACTGAAAGATTTCTGGATCTTACCTCCTATGAAATAACTTAAGTAGTATCCAGTGTACAACAAGAGGCCAGACTAGAAGCGCAAACAGAGATCTTCTGTTAAAATCAAAAGGCCACCACTGGGATGTCTAGAGGGAAAAAATCAGTTAACGCAATCAATGAAAATATCAGATCATGTAAATAACAAGTTTAAAAACTTCTCTGCGAAATGAAGTGGGTCCGTCACGTGATCAAATCCTGTGAAGGCTGAAGGCCTTCTCAGAAGATTAGATCACGTACCGACCCACTTCATTTCCCAGTGAAGTTTTTAAACTTGTTATTTATTACTTATATAAACATTTGAGAAGGACAATCGAATATAATCGAATATAAATATTGCACTAACTGTTCGTCGTAGATTTTGACAAATTACGCAAGGTGTAATTCGGCTTGAAAAGCAGTTAAACTTCAAATTCATCTGGCAAAGGATTCTGTTTTGAAGGGAATATTCTGTGAAAGGCTACTTGTGATCAATTATCGTGAGCATATTGGTGTCTGGGAATTTTTGTATTGGTGAGAACCCATGTTCGATGTTAAAAAAAAAACACACAAGAAACATGTCCGATGTTTGATAATAAAAAGTTGGAGGAATTTCGGTCGGAAAGGGATGGATGGAGACACTTGTCCGGACCAGTTAACTTGGAATCAAGTTTAAAATTTGATCAGAAACATAAAATCTACGATTTCAATAAGGCATATTTATTATGATGTTGACACGGAGACACAGGCGATAGCTTACATTGTTAAGACAACGATCTCGATGATGGAGGTGTGCCTACCATGCCTACCGAACTTCCGAAGTGGTGTTTGTCAGCTGTTTGTGGCGTGATTGCATTACATTGATATTTTCCAACAGATTTTCAAATTTATTGTGAGTAAAGTTTAATGAAAAAAAAAAAAAAGCATTCAGAGGTCTACAAGAAAAATAAGGGTAAACGTTGAGACTATGCAGCTCAGACATGAAATTTATAACACACAGTTTTCTATTCTCTATGTAAAATTGATCAAGAACTGTATTAATTACTCGTTTATATTGTAAATAAAATGATTATTATTTTATTTGGGTATTTTGTACATTTTTATGCATGAAAAACATGCTATATTGCTAAGTAGAGTAAGTCTTTTTATGTAGATATTACTGCGCTGTGTGATTAGGTCACGTAATGACCTATGACCTTCGAAAAACTTCATACAGGTATGAAGATATTTGCTCTCTGTATGTTTATATAATAGAGAGATACCACAAATGTATATATTTTTCATATACATGTATAACAAGTCGTCATATACATAACAAGAGGCCCATGGGCCTTGAATCGCTCTTCTGATAAACTGTGCAACCTATCACTTCTATTTGAACCCTCGAAGTATCCTGTATATTTAGATAAACCCTTGAAATTCCAATTCACACTCTGAGAACCCAAGATGATTCTAAGCCAATTAGTACCTGAGAGTTGGTCATGGTGACCCACTTATCACTTCTCATTGTCTGAGGACCCATCAACTAAGTTTGATGATTCTAAGCCAATTAATACCTAAAATATTTTTTAAAATTATAACCATAAAATTTTATAAGTAGGTCAAAGTGACCTACTTTTCAATTGTTGTACTCCAAGGACCCAAGATGCATCAATTGACAAAGTTTGATGATTTTAAGCCAATTAGTACCTGAAATATTTAATTAAAGCCATAAATTTTCAAAAGTAGGTCACGGTGACCTACTTTTCAGTTGCTGTACCCCGAGGACCAAAGATACATCGACTGACAAAGTTTGATGATTCTAAGCCAATAAGTACCCAAAATATTTAATTAAAGCCATAAATTTTCAAAAGTAGGTCACAGTGACCTACTTTTCAGTCAATCTACTCCGAGGACCAAAGATGCATCAACTGACAAATTTTGACGATTCTAAGCCAAATAATTCCTGAAAATATTAAATACAGCCATAAAATTTCAAAAGTAGGTCACCGTGACCTACTTTTCAGTTGTCGTTCTCCAAGGACCCAAGATGCATCAACTGACAAAGTTTGATGATTCTAAGCCAAAAAGTACCCAAAATATTTAATTAAAGCCATAAATTTTTAAAAGTAGGTCACCGTGACTTACTTTTCAGTTGTTGTACTCCGAGGACCCAAGACGCATCAACTGACAAAGTTTAATGATTCTAAGCCAATTAGTACCCGAAATATTTAATTAAAGCCATAAATTTTCAAAAGTAGGTCACCATGACCTACTTTTCAGTTGTTGCACTCCGAGGACCCAAGACACATGAACTGACAAAGTTTTATGATTCTAAGCCAATTAGTACCCGAAATATTTAATTAAAGCCATAAATTTTTGCAAGTAGGTCACGGTGACCTACTTTTTAGTCGACCTACTCCGAAGACCCAAAAGTCATCAACTGACAAAGTTTGATGATTCAAAGCCAATTAGTACCCCATATATTTAATTAAAGCCATAAATTTTCAAAAGTAGGTCACTGTGACCTACTTTTTAGTCGACCTACTCCGAAGACCCAAGATGCATCAACTGACAAAGTTTGATGATTCTAAGCCAATTAGTACCTGAAATATTTAATTATAGTCATATAAATTGAAAAGTAGGTCACGATGACCTACTTTTCAGTTGACCTTTTTTGAGGACCCAAGATGCATCAACTTACAAAGTTTTATGATCATAAAACGAAAAATGTCCAAATTATGCTTCTAAAACGCTTTGAAATCGAATGCCTGCAAAGTTCAAAAAGTAGGTCACTGTGACCTACTTTTTAATAAATATGTTTTATGGCCCCAAGATGCATCATCTTACAAGATTTAATGATTCTAAACCTCTCGGTATACGAATTAATGACCCTACTTTGTAGTTGACGTACTTCGAGGACCTAAGATACATAAACTGACAAAGTTTGATGATCATAGGCCTTAAATTGTTCAAAATATGCCTCTAAATCATTTTGAAAAAGAATGGCCGCAAAATTTAAAAAGTAGGTCACCATGACCTACTTTTGAGTCAACAATATGAGGTCCTTAGATGCATCAACTGACAAGATTTGATGATCCTAGTCCTTATAGTAAGCAAAATATCAACATTTTAATAAAATGTAATTTTTGGTCAACTTTGAAGTGACCTTGAGACCACGCCCTTTGCCCCAGGGTAAATCCCTGTGCAAATTTTAATCTACAACATATCCTCATCCTTTTGAGTAAGTTTGGTGATAATCTGCCCAGTGGTTCTTGAGAAGAAGATTTTTTAGCAACCAGTACTTTTGTTTCTATTTTCCTAATTATCTCCCCTTGTTAAAGGGTCACAACCCCAGTTTTAGTATAAAAGGGAGCCCTTGGGCCAAGGATACCTTGTGACAAATTTGACAATAATTGGCCAAGGGGTTCTTGAGTTATGGCCCATATTCTAAAAAGTTTACGCACACCGCACGCCGCACACCACACAAATGGCCATAGCATTAGCTCTTTGAGCCTTTGGCTCAGAAGAGCTAAAAATTGAAAAAGGATTCAAGTGTTAAAATTTGTGCCCCTCTAGATACATATGTATATGTATATGTGTGTGTATATATATATATATATATATATATATATATATATATATATATATTATTTTGCATGGCACATTGTTATTTTTGAAGAAGAGTGTATAGTATGATAATGTTGGTGGAGAAATAGGAACAAATACTTACCTTTTTGTCTTTATTCTGACTTTCATTTCTACCCTAAAACCACCAAGTGTTAAATACAAGTTATGAGATCATACAACAAACAGCCTTGTAATAGCAATCGAGAAGGAAGTGCAGAAGGTATGATTTCTTTTGATTTTTGATTATGTGACATTAAAATTGAAAGAAACTGCAAATGACAGATGAATACATAATTTTGTAAAGGCAGAGACTAGAAAGGGTGTTCATATTCAAATGGATACAAGGGTTTTAAGGTAAGAAACTGACAGTTACACAAGGTTCTGTAAGCACAAAAGCACTTGAGGGACACACATGAAAATGAACCTTAATTTTTTTTTCCTAAAAAAGTTTGTGATATCAGAGGATTTGAGACATCAAGGGTAAAATACTCAAAGAATAATTCAAGTGTGAGGGACTTCCAAATCACTTTGACGTATCCATGGTATTTGACATATCTGTTTGAGTTACCAGAGTTCAACTGAGACCCTTGATGTAGAAATAAAAAGAAATATTTTTGGGTAAAAATCCTACATTTCTACTGATATTTTGGTTCAAGAAGAATTTTGATCTTGTCAAACTAGATTCTACACTATAAAATGATAATTATTAATCTGTCAAATTAAAGCCAGATTGAGTTTCACCAAAAATATTGAATAATTTTTTTTCAAAAAATATTTTTGTCTGAAACATTGAAAATCTTTGGAAGTATCATTTTGGCCCACATACCATGGCCTGAGACAAACTTGAATCTATATTTTTAACTAGGACAAGCTACAGATCAGTTGTTCTACAGATGATATGCAAAGAGGAGTTTTTTTTTAAAGAAAAAAATATTCTTTTTTCCTGTCCTAATCCTGGGCTGGGGGTGGGGGTGGGGGATTGGTTTAAACAAACATGTATTACATTTGTGTTCAGAGAAGCATTAGAAGATGCACTCTATTTATTACTACCCCTTGTATTTAGAAAGGTGGTCCCTCATATGTGCAAAAACTAATTAATTCCCACTTTCTTTAAATATTATGTTTAGTTTGGGTGAATTCCTGGCAGTGAGAAAGAAGTGAAAAATGTTCATTTTTTAGAATTACATGTACAAACACCGATGAATAAAATGTTTGATTGAGGGTTTTGTTCTGACTAGCTTACATAATTTAATTCTTGTAAATCTTTCACTGTACCTGATCCCTTTGAGCTCGCTCTAGGTTGTTGACTCTCTCCATTACATTATTCATATCTTGTTGTAAACGGACAAGAGCTAATGCCATTTGAGCCTCTATGCTCCCTGAGGAGGCCCCATCAGGAAATCCCTCGTTATCCCTTCCTCCTCCTCCACCCATCCCATGATAACCCTGAGATCCTGAAGAACCACCCTGCTGGTTTTGTCTAGCTCCCATTTCTCTTCCTGCAAGAAATGAAGTGAGTAAACAAATTGGAAAGATATTTCTGCACTTGGCTCACTGTTATGAACTATTGTATTAAACGTTTAAGTGCAACTTTGTTCTACAGATTATATACCCGGTACATATTATACAATGAACCTTGGATATTTCAAACTATAGTGAGACTAAAATTTTTGCAATATTCAATTGTTCAAAATAGTCAATTTTCGAAAGTTATAATTTGGTAAGGACTGCTGACACAATTTGATATACTAGTAATATATCAATGTTCAAGATTCAAACAATCTACATGTATTGACTTTTTTGAGAAATTTTGGAAAGCAAAGGAAATATTTGCAGTTTGAATCATTGTAGAGGAAAAGGTGTCTGAAAGCACAGGAACTGTGAAAGAAAGCATGTTCAAAAACTACTGGCATTGTTTTTACAACCTACCTCCAACATTCTGTACTCTCACTGGTCGACCTTCATCTTGAGAATAACCTCCTGGAGGAGACATATCCCCGCCTCCCACCACACGGACATCTTTGTCATAGTCCTGCAGATATGATGAATTAAAATTGATATCCCGCCTACCAGCAGAGTGATCTTCATCCTTACTACTGCTATTATAGGAGAGGTTCATTGTATCCTGTCCTGGTGCATGGACTAGAAGACTGTCTGTCATACCTCGACCACTGTTACCAAAGCCTAAAAGCCGACCTTTGGTGGGAGTGAAGGGAAGGGAGGAAAAATTGTGCTCATGAGATCCAAATGGAATGTGATTACCTATGTTTCCTCCAGACTTTAAAGGTGTAGAGTTTGCCATTGTTGGATTGATTCCTACAGCATCTGTTTCATCCTAAAGTTATTCAAAATAAATCAAAATTATGTCTGTTTTATACACATTACCTACTGTCAATTTTTTTTCACAAAGTTTAAGTCTAGAAGTCAAAGAAAAATTCAGTATCTCTAATTCTGTCCTTTTACTACTGTTTTTCTTAATGCTGCAGGCCACAGGTCCATTCAGAACAATGCTATATAGTGAAATTAGATTTAATGTTTGTGGTCTATGACAAAACCATCAACTAAAGCTATCTTTAGCCCTAACCTGTGATGGCTGGTCTGAGGTATCACAGAATTCTTCCTCACTCTCCGTCTCACTTGTCAGATGGTCCCCAGACACTGGGTGTCTGTTCCTGTGGGTCCTGCGGTCTCTGGATGGAGATTGGTGTCTGACTTGGTTATCTTGGTTCCCAGGAGGTTTATTTCCCCTCTGTGGATGAGCTTCTACTGTCAGCCTACTCTCAGTGATATGTATATGGTCTCCATTCATGGTGACTAGGTCCCTTTTCTCTTCAAGTACCTTTGTGCTGACTGCAATGGGTTGTTCACTAACATCCGTGGAATTATCTAGTGAAGAATAATGTATGCAATAAAAGCTCTGGTAGATTACTCAGAGTATGCGTCTTTATAATTTTCATATATATATTACATGTACAACATAAATTTTTGTAAATTATCTCAATTCATTGGTTATGACAATAATATTGTATTTATTGTTTGTATAACAAGGAGAGGATTTATTAAGTTGAAAGATCTTGTGTCCAGTCCTTTTGTATGTATTATACAACAAAATATGTTCAAATCAAACATAATAAAAGTTTCAAGAACCTGATAAAAAATCAAACACAACTGACAATGCCATTTAATTGAACACTGATTTTGCCTTTGTCTGTCAGTCACTAACATAATAAACTGCTTCAATTTTCCATTTTTTTTCCCAGTTAAGGATTACCATTTTCATCCTCTTCCTCCTCATCCAAACCATTTTGTAAAACTTCCTCTGATTGGTTAAGAATGTTGTTTATATCCTCACTTTTCTTTAAAACAGTGTCTACCATTTGTGAATGGTCAAATATTTCCAGTGGGGTTTTACCCTCTAGCAATAAAAAGAAATTTCAAAAGATGACTAAAAAACAACCAACAATGAAATGAAGCAAATCCGCTGAGTAAAATTAATTAAGTAACCTGTTGATTCGTTGTCAGATGGAATGCCATTTTCTTCCTGAGGTTGGTGGTTTTCTGCTGGTGGTTTGGGAACTGGGGAGTCCTCATCCACTATCTCATAAAAACTGCCCAATTTTTCCATAAAGTCTCGAACCTCCTCATTCTGGGGCATAGCCTCAACAATCTGTTGGCAAATGTTACTGATCATTACCACAAATAAGTCTTACAAATACATTACAGGGAATTATACAAAAAAAGAGAACATTTTAACTAATTAACAGGTAATTTGTTAAAATAAGAAAAAAATAAAATAAAAAAAGGAACTGTGCATGCTTATGGAAAAGATTTTAAGGATAAATGCTATATTTGTTAGTAAATAATGCAAACAATTATACATGTATTGTTTATGAAAGAGAAATATATCCATACACACATCTGTAACATTATGCTAAAAATTAATTTTGAATTTGTACCTAAAATTACATGCATACAAATGTTCTTGTTTAAAGATCATATTCCAGGACTATGTATTAGTAGAACTCTAGTAATTTTTTAATGGGTTTCTATTGAAATATATCTACCAAGTCTAAGTTGAATTTTATCATGATCCTGTAGTTGGCAAATAAGAAAGAAATAAAGTGGAAAGTTGCAATGAATGTGAGTAGGAAAAACTTTATCTGGTACACTTTGAACCCACACTACAGGCAGAATGAGTGAAGAAAACTCCTACCCTGGGGTCCCCCTGTTCTTTCATTGCCAACCCCTTCTCAGTGAAATGTTTGATAGTCTGAAAGAGTTAAAAATCACCTCACTTCTGTGTCTGATTATCCACAACACTGAGATATATTAAGAACTTACGATTGCTTCATCATTGAATCACAAAGGTATACATACATGTAAAACAAAGTTTAAAAAGCTTTGAATTGGCTGCACAGATATACTACACAATCAATTACTAGTACTCCAGTACATGACAGACATGTGCTGTATCAGTAGCACTGTATATGTACTAATTTAACACACATTTATCAGCTAGTATACTCTTTGAAATGACATAAAAATAAATACTACTCATATATAGATAAATATCCTTCTTTCATGTATGTGTCCTACTCTTACCCCTATCATGGCCCATCTTGCCACAGAGGCCATGACAAGAATAACATTGAATTTTCACTACATGCAGCTGCTTGCATATTAATGTAGCTAATTGTGGTCCTGGTGTTCTTGGGGAGAAGAAAACTGTTTAAAGACTGTTCCTTAACATTCCAACATGACTCTATAGTCCCATGCTAGCGCTAGCCTGGGTAGCTACAATTTTCACGAACTGAAATTTAATCTACAAGCAGTTGCTTGAATATTAATTTGACAAACTGTACGCCTGCTGTTCTTGAGGAAAAAATTTTTCTCTCTATATTCCTATTAACAAATTTGACCCCCTAATGTGGGCCATGACATAAAAAAATATACCAGTAGAAATTTATTACATTTTTAACAGAGAAGTACTATAATTTATCCACTAAATAAAGTTATATTTTTGAAATTGACATTTTTTGAAGTGAAAAAATCACAAGTGAGTATAAAGAAAATACTTATTCATTGTAAGATACCAAGAGTAAATAAATCATCCTGACACAAACTAATGCCAGAATTTCTCCAAACTGTTGTACAATTTTCAATCTCACAATTGCTTATCATTGTGAAACAGGATTTTTTTTTTTTAATATTAATTTTCACTTGTGCTTTGCACTCATGAATATATCAACAACAAAAAATCCTATCCCACTTGTGAAATAAATTCCATATCCAATTACAAAACATTGAACATCCTCTGTATATACTCTACAAGGAAGCTTTCATAAAAAAAATTGTCTTCACTCTCATTAGTTCTTGAGAAGAATTTAAAAAAAAAAAAAAAAAGATTTGCAATCCTATTTTAACCATCTATCAATCATCTCCTTTTAAAAAGGGTATTGCCCTTCATTAAATTAAACAAAAGATTTACAAAAAAATACTTTGGCTAAATTTGGCTAAAATTGGCCCAATGTCTCTGGAGAAAAAAAAGCAATAAAGTAAACAGAAGGAAGACAGCTCTGAGGAGGGCAAAATTTAATCAGAAGAGCTCACTTCAGCCCCTTTACCATCAGTGAGTAAAAAATTCAAACATCAACAAACAAAAATATATTAAAACATGTAAAAAAAAGTCATTTCATTCATGAATATAAGAGAACTGCAGGAAAAAAATGAAGTATAAAACAAAAGTATGTATGAATTCACATAAAATTTTATTCATTATCAAAAACTGATTAATTTTTACTTATTCAGTTTATATAACATAGATGATCAACATAGCTTTTACAAATCATCATTCAATATTTAAACAAAAAATATATTTATTAAAAAAAACAAACATTTTTTTTAACCAAAAAGAAAAAGAGATATCTGATACTGTAATTAAAAAGGTATTTATCATTTTCAGGATCTTCTGACGGATTCTTTCCACCCTGATGCTAATGGACAAAGTTTAATAATATGTTTGTACCTTTTTTAGTTCTTCTACATATTTTACCATTGCTTCTTCTCTAGGCATATCTCCTAGTTTTGTCCATGCATCCCTTAAAAGACAAATAAAATGCATTCACTTTAAATTTTCCTTGATAATACCGCTTCATACAAGTTTATAATACATGTATATTTATCTTGTTGAAAATAAAATACCCTTTCTCTTTTCTCATTATAAAAAAAATCACCTACAACATGCTTTTATAACTTGATTTTTTACTGCACAATAGGAATCATGATACAGAGACTAAAATTCTTTAAATCATATATAAAAAGTGCATGTAAAATATGATATTATTGTGATATTTTGCAGAAAAATAATGATATATGAATATATCACAATAAGAAAAATTTAGCAATACACATCCATACTTTTTCATTCTAATTTTTTTTTCAACACATTAGCATTTTGCTCCTTTCAATAATCATGATGATGCTCAAAAAAAGGGATTGGATTTATACGAAGACAGATACAGAGATACACATACCATTTCTTTTTGTTGACAATGTCCCAAGTCCATGGTTTTGGTCTTGTACATTTTCCTTCAGTTGCTTGTTTGTAATAACTGTAAAAGCTCAACATCATATCATACGATGGCTGAAAAGGACCTATAACCACAAAACAAATTGTCAAAATGTTATCGAACACTTAGTAAATCGGATTGGTATACCATAATTACTTAAAGTTTTTTTTTAAATGCATTAATAATTGACAAGTTGTTTTATATTTGCAAATAATCACCATCTTTGGGTAAACTGTGTATAACTTTTACAGCAGCGTCAAATTTCTCCTTTTCTGTATTCGCCATTTTGAACAACACGGGGTCATGTGACTTCCAATGCACATTTTCCGAACCCGATCATTTTGGAGTTCAAACATAGGTACCTCATCTTCACTGATGACAAAAATTGTAAATCTCTTAAGTAAAAACAGAATGGGATCATGTAAATCTTTATCCCAACGACAGAAATCTTGCATGTTAATAATCACACGAAAAAAAATGTGCTTTTATATCTTATATAGGTTTATTATTATTATTATAAAAAAAAAAAAATAACTGCAGTGATCTCACGGGGTGCTATGGAATTCCATATACGACAGCCAACTGCTTACTGCCAACTGCTCACTGCTTACTGCCAACTGCCACTGCGCACAGATGATATTGCCTGTTTTATTATCTTTAATATCTTTAATACGCATGCTTAATTGAAAAAAAACCCTATGATAGATTACAATAATAACGAAAATTGGCGGATTCAGGAATTTTTAAACAGTGATGGCAAGGAAGGAATAAATAGGAGGAAAGAGTAATCTCTCTTAAACACAATGCATCTAATTCCCACATTTCCTTGCAGGCAAATAATTCAATAGATTTTTTGACGGGGGGGGGGGGGGTATTAATAAAGGCTTACCGTATATACGTCAGAAAAAATTGGGGGGCTTTTAGTAGGATCTTGGGTTATATTTGTTGATATATGCATTTATACTTATAAAAAATCATAAAGGCCTTTTACTTTACTATATGTAAAAAGCATTTTCAGGGTAGAGGGGGCGCACAACCCAACATAATTCCCTTGACAATTAATAAAAAAAAAGTCACAGACGTCTTTATTGAAGGTAGAACTACTGTATGTAGTATATGTTGGAAATTTAGTGGTTACGCCCCCCCCCCCCCACCACCACCACCGGTACCATGACTGTTTTTACAGACCTAACAGATCTAACATTAGCCATTAAAATGATTTACATAAGACACATATAAAAATTCCCACACATAGGTACTTTTCCTAGGGTAAAAAGAAACACCGAAAGATATTACTAGATATTTTAAACTAGGCAAAAGTTATTTGTTATTATAACTTTCAGTAATATTTCTAGTATAAATACATATACCAACAAATGTTACTCAAGACTACGAAAGCCCATTGAGCTCATATATATTTTTCGCATTATAACGCGAAACTTTCGCGAATAAACTCGAAACTTTTGCGAATAAACGCGTAACTTTCCCTGTAAAACAGAGACATTTGCATAAGTTTCCATTTTCTTTTACTTTAATGATCTAGTTTATTCGTTACAATGAAAAACAAAAGACTATTTTGAACTTGGATTATCACAAGCTGAAATTTTATGTTTTTCACGCCATTGAATATGTCTTTTCTCTTTCTAAATCTTTTTTGTCTTTCTCAACGCTGTTCAAACATTTCCAAAGTCTCTGCGAGTTTTTCCAAATTGAAACTTTCGGGAAAATGACCCCACTTTTCGGTGTAACGACGAAAAGTGACCCCCGGCCGTAGAATGTTGAATAGGGGGTCAAATTTGTACGTAGAAAAATGATCCTGGGTCAATATTCCACGACAAGTAGGGTCATTTTTCGACCATAGAAGACCCTTCCAGGCCGGTAATTCTACGACTCCTCTCACGTTGAAAAATGACCCCCATAGAAATCTGACCCCCCTACTTTTTTCACAATATTATTTAATAAAACCTGTTAAAAACCTTTAGAAATGAGATATGATACGCGTTAATTTTCCCCCGAGAAAATTTCAACATATATGTGGACGGGTGAGAAAAGAAAAAATATTTTGTTTTCTGGAGGTAAAAAAAAATAGAGTCGGGCCATTTTAGCCAGTTGGTCGGGAGAAGGTTAACAAACATTTTTTTTTAAAGATGGCCTTGGCTTGTATCCAAATCATGCACTGAGTTTATAGAATTTCTAACATGTTTTCTACCTCCTTCCCCAGTCCTTTTCATAATTTAAGGAGGAATGCCACACCAAACTTTTATTTAATAGATCTTTAAGACATCCCTTTTAAACTCTGGTTGCAGACTGAAAGACTGATATTAGCTCTTAATTATTTAAAACGATTTTTTGAGTATTTATTCTGAGAAAATGAAAAAAATGTTTTATTTGCAAAGATGTTTATTAAAATAAAAAATCAAATTTGTTGTAAATCGGAAAACTCTTACACTCACGTGCACAACCTTTTTTAGACCCCAATTAGAATATGCTTCGATCCTTGGTATGGGTGTAATATGGGCGAAAGCGAAAAATTAGCTCTTAATTCTATTAGCATTTTCATTTTAATTTCTTTTCAAACTATGATTGTCTAGAATATTCATTGTAGCTGTGACTTGTATTTTGAATATATTATCCATAGGTTTCGAAAATATTCGCAAATACTGTGTTGTATTTTCATAAATAATTTATTAGTAGAAAATTTAAAAAATTTAAAATGTCCAGCTTGCTTTTGTTTACATATTTTATTAGATATTCATTTTCTGCATCTATTAATAGCAAATTTCAAACTATAAAACATCTTATTTGCAAATAAAATCTTCTTTTTTTCATTTTCTATGAAAAATTGAGAAAAAAATCTTATAAAAATAATTGAGAGCTAATATCAGCCTTTTAATGCTGAAACCATAGTTTAAAGGGGATGTCTTAAAGATCTATGAAAAAAATAAATTGGTGTGGCATTCCTTCATAAATTCTTCCTTCAGACTTAGAATTAAATGCTTACTTCAAGTGTTTTACAATTTATAAACTTTATCTCTATAATGTTATGTACAGTACATGTAGATTGAGGAGGGTTCCAATGCGCGACAGAGACAACTTTGGTACAATTTTTTAAGCCCGCAATTTGCTTGATTTTTTTTTTTTGATTGAATGGCTCTATTACTTAATTAAGTGAATGATTTTAATTTTCCCAGAGGCTTTGCTAGGACTTGTAATAAGGTGAACATTTACTCAAATTACGTTGATAGCCCAACGGTTAATCATTTAACACTGTCCATTCAAAACCGTTTAGTACATGTAGAAATCTATGGTTAGCAGAGTAGAACCATGCAACAAGTAAAGGTTATACATAGTTTTATTAAGAGTACGTATTTGAACAAATACCAAACGAACGTTTATATGCAATAAGAAAATATGAAATGCCAGGTAATCCCTAGAACAACGAGTGAGTCATGATGCAAGTGCATTTTGGTTAACATTGAAAGCAGCGACACGATGTCTGAACAAGATAAAAATTATGAAAATATAGTAAACTGAAAACTTACAAGGGAAAAGGATAGTGAATGTCAAACCCTTATTACATACTAGATCAAATAAAGGATATTTATAAACCTCTTCTCTGCATGTGAATAATTTAGGACATTAGCCACACAGCTATTTTTCATAACGGTACAACAAATAATATCCAACTTAGATTTTAAGCTGACACATGTTCCTTGCATGTTAGTAAGCATATAAATATTGTTTTCCAAGCATATAAAATTATAAACATATAAAATTATAAAAACATGTAACGCAATGAACAAATTGCGAACAGGGAAGCAGTATTTTCTGTTGTTTGAAGTTATCGCCCTTATAATTTTAAATTACATTCATTTCTTTGCAAAAATAAACAAATTTGCCAAATCCAATTTAAAGTAAAAAGATCAAGAATAAACATTTTATAATTTCTTTTCTACTAACAGTAAGAATTTTGTCTTTATTCTGGAATAAGTATTTTTTCCATTAATTTTACTGTAAATAACTTTGAAACATCTATGTATTATGCATATGCAATTTTTTTTCACAAGGTCTAATCATAAATGACTCAGACTGTCAAAGAATAAAAACAAAGAGAGAGGGAGATAGTGGGGAGATAGTGGGGAGAGAGAGTGGGGGAGCAAGGGAGTGGAGAGAGAGATAGTGGGGGAGCAAGAGAGTGGGGAGAGAGAGGGAAGAGAGAGTGGGGGTGAGAGGGTGGGGAGGAGAGGGTGGGGAGAGAGAGCGAGAGTGGGGGGGGGGAGGGGAAGGGGGAGTGGTGGGGGAGAGAGTAGGTGGGAGAGAGAGAGAGTTAGGAGGGGAGAGGACGGGGAGGGAAGTGAGAGGTGTGGGGAAGGAGTGGGGAGAGAGAGGGAGAAGGATAGAAGATGATATTACCGTGTATAGACTTGTGTAAAACACCTCTTTCTTTGTAAAAAGCCTTATATTGTGAAGGCTTTGTTGACACTAGCAAACAACAAAAGACAATGGTAAAGGTTTTGAGCTAATCATGTTTTTGAGGCATATTGATTCAGTCCTGTGTGATATTTTTAAGATTTATATATTTCACATATTTAATCTTCCCTATATTTTTATGAGAAGAAGTTTAAGACTTCATTCATAGAAATTAAAGATAATTATGAGATCAAATTTTCTTAACAATCGCTATTTTTAAAACTAATTGGGAAGAGTTTTAAAACGTTAATCTTTCTAATAACTTATGAAGAAGAAAGAAGACTTTATTTTGATTTTTTGCACATTTAGATAATTAAAACTGTGGAAACTGAAAATTTTTAAATTATTATTATTAAGGTATTCCATCCCTAATAGCAAAAGATTCAATGAAATTGAATACATATCAGATGTGTAGGTGTTGAATAATTAGTATATTTATACATGTACATAATTTCCATTTATTACTATAAGCATGGAAGAGTGGGATCTGTCCTAATTTATGATCTTGAATTTTGGTAAGAGGTATCTGTTTTTAATTAATAAAAAAAATTAATCCTAAAAACTTATCTGTTAAAAATACCGTTTTCAATTGTCATTCTATTTCTAATGTTTAATGTATCTTTCTACCACAATATTCATTGATATAATTATTTGAATTTTTAAAAAATTTCTCGTCCCCATAGACTTCAAAGCAATTTTTGTTAATTAATTACTGCTTAGTAAATTACATTTTTGAAACTTTCTCTCGCTAAATCCTTTTGTACTATAAAATGCTTTAAATAAATATCGAAGTATTATGTACATGATGAACATTTAAAGGTGCTTGGACACAGATTTGAAGTTAGTATTTACTC